CATCCTGCATCTGCAAAATATTATACATGTCGGTCCCCATGACCATTCAACTGCTGTGCGTGTCATTTGCGCCAATATATGTATTTTCACATCTTAATTTGCTTAAGACATCAAATGTCATTTCGATTGCGCATTCATGATCGGCCATCACTGAAAATATTATGACATTATTTAAGGACCCAGAATACACATCTCCAAACTTCTAAATTTAAACAGTTTTACATACTACGTCTAAATATCTACATTTAGTGAATACATTCAATTAGGGCTATGCCATTTGATGATTAATATGTAAGTCTATTTGCGTTTGTTGAAGTCTTGCAATTCATAACATTCAGAAGAGTTCCAATATTGAAAGATACATAAACACTTCCTTCATTATTCGCTGAAGTGCATTCCACTAACAGAGACAATAATTATGGTTTCATAGGCAGGTAGATGATGACTATAGGAGCTCATGTTTTTACTTATTTCAAAGCAGTCGATTAAATGGAATTGCTTCCTAACATTGACCCTCTGACAATTATTGCGTCGCCTTGGCACTCTAAACACGAATCAATTTTTGAATCAGGATTTTGGTGGCAATCTTGTATGATATTTATCGGTTTTTTAAATGTTTAATTATTTCTTGTTTTAATTGTTTTTCATTTGACTATGCACAACTAGGGACTAAGATAAAATTGAAAAAGGAGAATTACGAATGAGCCATCAAAAACTTAAAAATATATAACCTTAACAGCCTAAAACTATTTGATCCTAAAATGGACAATTCAAAAGTTAGGACAAAGGGGATTCTTAGAAGAATGATTTATCCAGAACTTCTCTATCAAAAACAGTCCCCATCAGGATTGAAATGGACGGCGTGAAGTTAGAGTCAAGAGAAAAAAAAAGAAATTTGAGAATGAGTCTTCAAGAACCCGTCATGAATGAATAAATTATTACTGGCAACATCCAAGATGGCTGCAGATGGCTGTGTGTTTTCCGCAGTCAGTACTAAGATAGCCAATGCACCAGATACAGAGGTTACCGTATCTCTAACTTTAAATGACAACATGTAATATGGCCGCCTGCCGGCCATCTCGTTTTCTTCCGAACATTCTCAAAATTATTAATTCACAATTATAAACCGAAGGAGAAACTATATTTGAACATCTGTCGTTAGTCATGTGACCGTGACTAACAAACTACTTCATTGAGCCAGAGGGTAAAGACATATAAAACAGTTATATAGTTACATAAGTAATCTCAAACAACAAATATAGTATATGTTTTCGAATCAAGTAGTTTTGTATAAATACGAGTGATTATTCTAAAATGTAACTGATATATATAAATACATTGTCCGAGAATATGTAATTCGTAAAAGTCGATTAAAGTTAATCTATTTGTAATTACAGTCGCTAATGGCAATGCTTACTGTATGGGGTCAAGAGTTGTGTGTATACCAGGAAATGTCGTCCATTTAAATAGCAAAGCGATGTAGGTTGTTAACCTTATTGACTTGGTCACAACTGATAGCGCATGAATCTAAGCCAAGTGATTACCCACCAGCACATACATTTGCCACGTAAAACCCCCGGGGGAGAAAATGTAGAGGTACGCTGGGTAGGGTCGTCATCCTTTATTATAACAGCACCGTGCAGTAAGTGTTGGCATGGCATGCTACCATGTGTGAACCTAACTTGACGTATTCGACCGCTTTCTGCATCGCAGGACAGTGTTTACCATACAATGATTGATGCTGAAAGCAATCATGTATGTTGTAGAGTCAACAAGACATAATGACACCAGCACATGTGCACATAACTGCTACGGAACAGTTACTGTGAACCTCGGAATCATTTGGAATTTCTCAAAATATATGTATTAAGGAATAGACCGAAAAAGCATACCCTTAAATGCTAGGTGCTCCCTATTCGTTGGCAATGCATGGATACAATCTCAGAAACACTACAGCGTATTCTTGCCCCCACCTCCCCCAATCCTCGGGTTGGTATTACACGGGGAAATACAGAAATAGCGCATTCACGATGAATCGTATTACTTAGAAAATATTTAAATATCACGGCCGTGGAGAGTAATCTAACAGGCATACAGCTGCGGTTTACGCAGTAGCAAGGGTGTAACATTACATCTCAGATTCAGATGTCTCCATCTCTTTTTTTCAAAAAGGTAGGAACACCAACATGTAGTCAAACACAAAATATTCCTTTCATTATCATACTTGATTGTAAGTACATGTGTATTGAATACTGTAGCACAGGCAGGTACGGTTTTGTATGTCGAAAAAAATAAGCCAAGCGCAATGCTTGAATCTTCGTTAACGTATGTGGAATTGTATACTCAACGTATTGGTATATATTACAATATAATTTTTGTCAAAATGAATATAATCAACGCTGTTACTAAGATGCAGAATATTAACACCGAGAAAATAAAATCCAATTAGAAACGGGACAATAAACAAATTACTTTGACAGTACAACACATATCATTGAATTTCATAACGAGAGCAAAACGGAATTTGATTAACAAATAATTAAAACAGTATTTTAAAACTTCAGTTTCATTAACGTACCACCAATGATAATTACTACTCTATATCAGTAGCCAACCATGACAATCTGAAGTATTTCAGTCGATAGAACAGCTTAACGCTCTCCTTGAAATAGGATAGTTGGATTTATTGACATCTATGAAAAAGAGCATACGGCTCATATCGGTAATCAAATAAGGGATTTACGACTCAATTATTTGGGTAGGGGTTCATAGGCTCAATTACGTTTATTAGGGGCCCGACTTACGGTTAAATACTGCGTGGGTAAATTACTAGGATGAGGGGTTAAAGTCTTAATTACGTTTGTAAGGGATATACGGCTTACTATTTCGTGGGTAAGGTAAATAGATCAATTACGTTGATGAAGGGTTAAGGTCTTAATTACGTCTGTAAGGGGTTTACGACTTACTATTTCGTGGGTAAGGGATTTAGATCTACTACGTTGATGAGGGGTTGATGTCTTAATTACGTTTGTAAGGGATATACCGCTTAATATTTCGTGGGTAAGGGATTTAGATAAATGGCACCGATCAGGGGTTTGCACATCACTTGTATATGTAAAGAATTTACGGTTCAACTACGAGAGAAAGGAGATTTAAACTCAGTTACATGAGTAAGGATTTTACAGCTCAAATACGTGGGTAACGGACTTGCGGCTAAATTACGTGGGTAAGGGGGTTGCGTCTTAATTATGCTATCCAGTAGATAATCTACGGTTTAATTATACTATTGACTACAAGGGAGTGTGCCTTAATAGCCGTATTTAGTAAATGACTTACGGCTAAATTAACCTAGCTAATATACTGCGTAAGGCTTAATTTTGCTATTGAGTAATATGTTTACTTTTTATCTACGATAGCGAGTAAAAGTGAATACTTCGTGCTAATGAATAAGGAGCTTATTGTTGTAGTAATCCTATGAAGTATCTTATTTAATAATGAATCTTCTAGTCAGGAGGCAGATGATGTGATTAGTACAGAAAGTGTTGAGGGAACGGTTATATTCCTGAACTAACGTCGAAACATATGTCATGCTAGCAAGACATAATGTCTCCGACTTGTATAGGATGAAATATTACTGTACTATTACTAAGAAAACGATAAAAACGACGGAAAATATTACATTTTTCGTACAACTGAAACTCAACCTTTACAATAATGCTACAGCAGTAAACATATTTAATCGTTATAACAGGTGTTAGGGCGTCTCTGTCCGTCCGTCTGTCTCTCTCTCCCTTTCTCTCTCTCCTACTCACTCCATCTCTCTCTCTCCCTCCCTCTCTCTCCACCCCCCCCCCCTCTCTCTCTCTCTCTCTCTCTCTCTCTCTCTCTCTCTCTCTCTCTCTCTCTCTTCTCGTCGTTTTGTCTACGATTCCCCGACCTGAAAATGTATGAACACTTTAGGATATTCCTCCCGAGTTTTCAGTTGCTGCGCACTGCAATTTTGGCTATTACTTTTAAAAATCTATAAGGTCATTTCGTAACTGTGGGTAGTAAATTAAGGTCAAAACATGTACTGTATAACGTTTGGGATGTAAAGATTTAAACAAATATACACTTGATGCTATGATCATACATCGTATGCTTTTACAGTGAAGAATAGGAAAATGCTATTCTGTGCTTTCACTGTAGTCAATCGCATGATTGGCACTGGACATCGATGATTCTGCGAGTGTCCCGTATTTCTGTCCATTGAAACACATTAAAAGATCGATATGTTTACCAAACCCAGATATAACATACAGTAAGTATTTGGTTTGGTGAGCAGATCACAAGACGTATTTGCATTTAGCTGGTTAAACAGGTTGATGACGTATCTCCGTACAGGTATAAGTCATTATCTGAGTATCGTATTGAACACGTTTGAAACAGCAAGGTAAACATCACACAAATCGACCGTATCATTACGACCTGTTTCTCCTATTGCAGGCTTAGCCCATACTTTGTTAATGATCGACATCAGTATCTACATCAAGTTTGTACACATGCATAAAACATGATCGAAATCTTCAAAATATCACAATACATATTTATTACAGTAAGCATGCATCCATTTATGATAGATGTATGCTATCCATTATCTGTTTCATACTTGTACTACAACGTATATTTCAGCAGTGATAAAAATATAGTCAGAAGACTTCATTTTTAAAGTATTTAAATTTTTTTTCGTTTCATGATTTGTTTTTTGAAATCAAGAATTATTTTAATTAATATTAGAAATTCGTTCCATTTTTTTTATTCGTCATTTATTAAAGATTAATATTTTAATCATTTTAATAATTTAATTTGTTGTATCAAGATCGAAAGATATATAATTTCGTTCATGTGAACACTAAATGTCACGACAAAACATTTTGCTAGCGTAGATTTTGACCATAATATGTAATATGTACACTAATTCAAAGAAAGAATTATAACAGAAAAGATAAGAAAATACTTACCTTGCGAGAGCCACGGAGTTGATTTTTTTAAAAATATTGTTGTACCTCTATTTGCTGATGTTATATTGGTTAGACGTCCCGCTTATAGCTCTTTGACACAACATCGAAAATATATGACGAGTCTATTTCATTTTTTTTTTTTTTAGATACAACATGAAGTAACACACATGTCTATTATTCTTCGGGAAATAAAAACTTGTTCCCGGGATGTTCAAGCGAGTTTTCTATGTGAAGACTGCTGTTGAGTAACACAGAATTATTTAATGTTCCAAGAGAATTCTAGTCTTTAACAAGTTATGTCCACTAATGAATTCGAGAAAAAAAGACTGATAATGATAACACCCTATCATCAATCATATAGCATGTCTGTTTAGTGCCCAACTAAGTATCACTTTTTACAACACATATCAGTGTTTGACATCGTTGCGGAAAATGTACAGCTGCAACATATCAAAAGAATGCTATCTTTAACATATGTAATGTCAATCCTTGCGCATTTACATTGAATTTTTTTTTCTCGAGAAGTATACAAATTAAATCACAACATTTTACAAAGTAGAACTGCATCCAGTTTCTATATAATAACATGTGTTTGTTTCTTTGTCCAAATTTATAAACATTTCCATTTTCTTCTGTGAAGCTTAATTAACACCTCGATTCGATTGCATTAATCTTCCGTATACTTAACAGAGCTCCATCGCTGTCGCTGGCCTTCACTAAACACAGACTTCGTTGCTGCTGGCAGCGAATATATGTATCAAACTTAGAATGGCGCTGCTCTCTGTGAGTAGAATTTCCAGCAGCAATCGTTGTAACGGGTTAATGGTAGGTCTGATTTTAAATCTGCCGTGATAATAACAGCAGTTCGTCTCGCGCTGACCGCGTGGTTACTTTTCTGCTTACTAGTCAATACGCATGGACGCACTTCTTTTCTCTATAACGTTATTGCAACAGAGCAATCAACGATTCAAATACAATATCACTTAATCTGTGGTGTTTATTTAAAGAGTAGACATACCCATAGTGCGACGTTGACCATTAACAGCAGCACTGTCAACGACAAAGAAACAAAATAGTGACCAATGGAGTTAGCGTCTGGGATTCAATTACGTTGTTAAAAAGGTAACGTGAAACGAATCGTTAAACCGTGAATATAGCAGAAAACTACAGATGTTGCACTCGTAAAGGCCCGCCAGTGTTCAGAAAAGAGCCAATAGGACAATAAAAGCAAAAACGTGCATATTGCAAACGGTACATCATCAAATGAAAGGTAAAAGACGAAACTGATATTCACGTCGAAGTGTTACTTGGCAAATGAATGGGCATAGGTCAACTTTGCGTTTTAGATTTGATTCCTTGTTTGGGCATACAAAATGTGTCTGCGTCATTTACAGAACATGATTCCCTTTTATCATCCATGTGGACAGTATTAAATTCGTTTTAAGATAACACAACTTCGAGAGATGCATGCCGCCGAGTCTTTGTCAGATTTTCCCGTTTTCTATATTTCACCCACCTTTGCCGACTTTTTCTTTACAGCATTATGACAATATTTAAGAAACAACACGGAAATACCAACATGTCACCATAAACATAATCCTAACGCAAATTTAATAAAACTAGGGCAAAAAAATGGACAAAAGAAAGATTTACACGGCGTAGAAACCATCTTTGCTTTAATAAAGGTCAAATTTCACACGTAGACCCGGGTTACCACAACAATAAGATATTTAGAAAGTATTCATACCCTGCTGAATACCAAGGGCTAAACATTAGTAAATCGTCAGTATAATAGAATATTCGTTTAATAATATTTTCTGTGAAGTTGAAATGTGCAAATACAACGTTTTGCTATCTATCGTTTCGTGTATAATTATCAAATATTATTTTTTCCCTTTTAGAAGAACGTCACATTTCCATCATGTTGCTGTTATGCTTTATACCATTGCCAATTCTCAGTATGATGTGTCAACTTGGATCATCGTTCTCCCGTGTCAAGTGTACACTAGTATTAAAGCGTCTTCCGGTGGTGCCATTATCAGTGGACATGGTCATTGTATGATATAAAGTTTTTAATTTTAATTTTCATTGAAATGTACTATTTATTACAATTCTTAGCCATTGCGAGGAACAAACATATCACAGAAGTTGTTTTTACTTAAAAAAAAATCATTTTATCCTCGAACATACAGAATGCATATTCAGAGCAATGGTTGAATAGACTGACATATCGTTCTCAACACTCCCGTGCAGCAACACTTTATAGCGGATGCAAACTTTGGAAAATCATCAAACAATTCACTTGCGTGTTAAGAATAGGCTGGAGTGAAACGCCCTGGGTCCTCATCCAAAACCGTGACATGCCAGCCATTTAAATTGTACTACACGCTGCTTGCCTGACGCTCAGCATTGGATGGACAGATTCGTCCATCCAATGTTGGTATAATGCAACCGATCTTTTATTTATAGAAATTGTTCCTTTATGTCCATATCTACTTGTATTGCCTCTCCACAAACTTCCGAAAAAAATTAATATCAAGTCATAAATTTTCATTTAAATCTGTAACTCAAACATTATTTAGTGTTTTCATGAAAACTAGCGATTTGTTTCATGATAACACTGTTTACATAATGATGATTTCATTTACGGCGATATACAGGCGGGATTGTGCCTTTTAATTCACTAGTTATTGGTGAGAGTTGCTAAGGCTTGGTGTGTATAAGCACCTAGATAATACAATACATATGATAACTCTGAATCTTTAAAGATAGGTTTGCATATGTAGATATTGGTAACCCACAATAACATCTTTGTAAAAAGCAGTATCTTCATTCATGCATTTAGACGCAATACTATGTTTTACTAACAATGTATTCCTGTTTAGCACCCTAACAAATTAACTATATGAATACTGAATTCATCTTAATCTATGAACTTCATGTTTTGCTCTCGCGTTGTACACCTGACTTTTTAATATCTTCAATACATATTTTCTGTATTTCACTATCTAAAACTCAAAATCCAGGATGTTTATTTAAAAGACAGAGAAGGAAGGCACGGCTATAAACTCAAATAATTTGAAAGATTGATTGATATATCGGTCAAAGAAAGGGACGAAGGTTCAACTAAAGACAAGATATCAGGAAATGTCAAGGGAGCCATTAGGGGGAAATGTGTTCAGTATGAGAACAGATGAGGTTCCATATTTAAATGTCATGACTTAATTCGGTCTGAAGAAATCTTTTGTGCCTAGTACAAGAGTCTGAATTCATTTGAAATGCCTCTTTCCTTGGCAAAGCCTTGCGAAATAGTTCTGAACAAAATATTTGACTTGTGAATGCTTAGATATCAAGGTGATCGATAAAATCATTGAAGACGTCTAGCTTAGGAAATGTATACTCCCAAAATCCACATTGTTATGACGATTGGCGATATTTTTCGTCCCGTATGATATTTGATGGTATTGTTTTCTGCTTCACGTTGGGTGTAACAACATGAGGTGTATCATCCTTCTGTAATATTAGTAAAATCTAAAACGGATAACTCTGGGATCTTTTGAATTGGCACGACATCAACGCACAAGTATATCAACAAATTATGCACGAAATGATATGTTTTAATTTTCAAGATGATTCATTCTTGTATTTTTTCCAGATTGAGATCTTAACAGTGGAAAAAGTTTTAATCTAGCTTACAAAATATCAAGTCTAGTCATTTAACCTTTTAATTAAGGCAACGTAACGCAAATGGTTTTCAAGATTAAACTGATCTAAGATTAGACTGCATTTGGTAGACTCCAAATCGTTGTTTGAGATCTCAAATGGTAACGATATCAGATCGATGTTGATATTGAAAACATTTTCAAAGAATATGGTTGACCTACTCTATGTTCCTTGTTGCTTGGATGTGTATGAATTGGGCGTTATGTCCCCATTATTACAGTTTTCTTGCAATTATCGTAAGCTTACGAACAATTTCGTGTTTCAAATGATTCTGGTTGATGGATATTATGGAGAAGTTTAATGGTTGTTGTAGTGATATCATTGAGAAATAGTTTGTTTCTTTGTGCGATACGACGCTCGCTAGTTTGCCAGTTGGCTACGTAGTTATATATTTTGTTATAATTTCAGAACGTGGTATCATTTAAGTGACCAAGATTAAAATGGCATATGATGTCGATGAAGCAGAAGACGCTTACTCTTCCTTTGTACTTTTTCTGTTCAATCGTCTCCATGTAACTGCTTCTTTTGTTCATAGTTTGCTCCAGTTTAAGTGAGTTAAGTGGGTGGATTATGATTATGTTGACATGTTGGTATTTTCCAGTTGTGTTTCGTGTCAGGATGATGATATTTCAAAGTAGTGGCAAAATAAACCAAACTATCAATAGAACCAGCATTCGTGAAAGGACATCACTTGATACCCTACAGCAGGAACAAAAGCTATTTTGCTTGGTTTGGCAGACATTGGAAACCGTCATTTAACAAAAGATCCCAGAGGGCTCTTTGGGCCCTGAAGTGCAAAATATTCATTACTTCTATGCAAGACTGACATTTTCTCTACTTTTCCTTTTCCACTTAATCATTTTACAAAAAGGAAATCCTATATGTAAATCAAAGAAGGTCTTTCTGAGAAATAGCGATAACAAATATGTCTATACCCAAAATGGTCTCCTTTTATTTCTTTTAGCAGACATGAAATTGTGACTGGTACGGTTGGGACCAAAATGAAACTTACGCATCATCTCAGAGACATTTTCACCTTGTACTTCTCAGGAAAACGTGATAGCGCAGTAAAATGATCGCTTGGAGAGTATTTTTCTTATATTGAAATGATAATGATAGAAATGACTAATTAGACTTTAAGAAAATATATCTTCTCCTTACTCTGGCTAAAAATTTAATAGGAAAAGAGAAGAATTTGTATCGATCATCGAGAAATATCCTTCCATTACAACTAAAGAAAACAACGATATCAATGACTGTTTACGGGCGATTTACTGAAGAATGGCGATTTGAACAGTCCACCATCTCCTAGTTGTGAACTACAAAGAGCAATGACAAGTTTGGATTCATTTGAGTACTCCGAAGTATATAAGACAAGCCTTCTGAGTAGTGATAAGGCAATACATATCCGTTGCCGGCCCCCGCAAGCGATAACACTGTAATGGTTTATAAAGATGTTGTTGTTTGTTGGTAGTTTGCAATGAATAAGAAAAGTAAATAATCACTTCGTAAGTGATTTTTAAGCAGCAATAAATATGACATTATGTAACACATTTCCATCAACAATGTGTAATAGAATGTTAAAGTCAATTGTAAGTTTGTAATTTTTGATCGAAATCCCCTGAGGATTTAAGCCTCTAGCCCTTCGATAAAAAATTCTGAAAATAGTTATGGCGATATTTACCTTGTTCTATTTATTTATTTATTTACTTATTGATATGTTTTCCAGGTGTTTGAACTTCTTTGAAAATTTCTCAAGTTATGAAGCAGCTAAACCGCTGATATATTTTTGGAAAAGAAAGCTTGACAAAGCAACTCGAACTTATGGAAGATTATTTATGCTTAATAAGTATATAACGATTGATGATAACCATTTAAGGAATGAAGCAGATAGAGGGAGAGGTAAATTAGTCCCCTCGGGAGGGACATCAATCAG